CCGCTAATTACAGCAATTCTCATGAAAGTTCACACCCATTTTTTATTTATTTATTTCATTAATATTTATTGTTATCTTGACCTATTTTTTTATGAATATTTTTCTTATATTTACGTGTAATTATATATATATATATATATATATATATATATATCAATGTTAAAATACGAACGGACTATTCTGTCAGGCTGTAAAGATAAAATTAAATTATAAACATTTTGAAAAAAATTATTAACAATTAACTCAACAACTCTTTTCTTTCTAGTACATTTCCCTCGTTGTCTTCTCTACCATCTTCTGGTTTATTCTCCTTTATGCTTTTCTTCTTTTATATCAGTCGTCATTGGTATTAATGCAATATTGGAAAATGAAGACTTATCTACTATAAGTCTTCATTTTCCCATTCTGCATTTGATGCTGAAACAGAATTTGTAGCGGTCGAAACAATCACTAATTTTTGTATCGCATCCGACCTTTTTTGTATGGCTTCTTTTGCTAACTTTTTTTTTATATGCACTTACATATACTTTTCCTAACTCTCATTATCTCTGTTTATTTAAATATGATAAAACATTATATAAATAAACAAATTTAATGATGAAAGAATTTTTCAGTTACTAGAAAAGTTAAAAGTAAAGAAAGCGATCCAAAGGCCAATAATTTTTAAATCAAGAAAATTTCCAGGATTTTAATAAAGTAAACAAACAAAAAGAATACAGTAATCTTACGTTATTCACGAGTGTTACAATGGTTTTACTCTGCATATTATGCCGTGGATAATAAGACTAGGTATATTAACTTAACAAAAACAGCTCATAAAAATATATAGTTATAACGAGGGACGTCCCGATACTGCCAATACCAATACCGATACTGATATATTCTATCGATACTTTCCTTGAATATCAGATCTGATAGCGTTACATTTTTCACAGACAGCTAAGGTTTCACCGAAACCGGATTTTGCACCGAATCAGGTGCCGAAACCGAATCTTTCACTATTTCGGTTAAGTTAAACTTATATAAAACATATTAATGACCAAAAATCAATACACTTATTACATCAAATTTCATTTCCAGAATATATGTGTGCTTAGCGTTCAAATTACTATTTATAGCTCTAAATAATTACATAGTTAAGCTTTTTTGTTGCTTAAACACTGTTTAGTGTAATTAATCGATCACTTGGCATTCATTTATCTCTTTATTTTTAATTCAGTTGAAAATAAAGAGATAAATGAATGCCAAGTGATCGATTAATTATACTACATAGTGCTTAAGCAACAAATAAGAACGTAGTTAATCCTGTTTACAACACGGTTTCAGATTAACAAAACTTAATTAAGCATTACGCAGCATAATTGTTAATCAACTTGTACCCTCAGTGATGTTTAAAATGAGTTACAATTTGTATATAAACTACTCGTTTGCCCTGACATTCATAAAATTTGAACACAATAAAAAACTTTCAATATAAAGACACTGTTTTACCTTTTCATTGACGATTTCGTATCCACCCTATTCCATTTGTAGTAGTACCTACAGAGCCCATTTACATGACTTTTTTTGTATACATAAGACATCGTACGAATGTAAACTGTACTGACTGACGCACTGACTTCTGAACAAGACAGCTGAGATTTAATTCCCTTGAGTAAGCAAACAAAATATTAATTGCTGCTCTAGGGCCTTCGGCCTTCATTGTAATGAATCCATCCTTTTACGAGATCCATTGAACGTGATTTTGAAATAATACCGCCGACGAAAGAAAACTAATCTTCATTTTACACAATTGATTTTTTACATGAAAAAAACCGTTTATTTCAAATTTTTTAATTCAACTTTTCGTTAAAATTGTTGAAATCAATAGTTAATTTTCTTTTTTTAAGCACATTACAGCACTATATGTACAAATGAATAACTTCAGCTGCAAGTGCGCATCTACAACCATCAGCAGAACAACCAACTTGTAACCTGGATCAGCTAGGACAGAGTTCACCATTAAATTTTGATCAATATATAATCTTAAATATTTTGTTATACAGTATTTGTAGAGTTAGGCGATGTTTTTTTTTTTCATTTTCTAACTCTGTTGCGTTGCCATAACTTAACAAACAAACATTTTCTAACTTTCCGCTCTATGGGCACTGCGAGGGCAATTTTCCATAACCACCGAGGGTTCGGCTAGGCCCCCAATGGTGACGCGGGTAGTAAAGAGATATGGTCTGATAGATCCAATAATTACGGCCAGTGGAAAATTCCTGGGATGGCTCGCTCGGACTTTATGCCAAGTTTGCCAGACCAGTAGACTGACGCCTTAATCACCTCGGTCATCCGGCCTTCGATATAATATACAGTAGACCCCTATAAAACGGATTCCTATAATTACGATTCCTATAAGACAGCGAAAAAATTGCGACGGTAACCGTAAAAACGGTAAAAAAAAACTCCTATAATTACGTAAAACGTCATCGGGCAGCCGAACTACTTTCCGCGCTGTCAAGCGCTACGCTACGGAGAGATTACTATCGTCTGTACGGTATTATATATGTTACTGCTAAAGCTCGAAATTCGTTAATGTGTACATTACCTAGCTAATCTGCAGATTAACTAAGGTGATTCGTTAAAGCTGCGAAAATTATTCCATTTCTCAAATTACCTAGGTAATCTGCAGATTACCTAGGTAATCTGCGAATTACCTACTAGGCACTCGGTAAAGTGAAAATAAGATCTTTGCTGGAACAACAGCAACGTTTCTTTCTGTACACTTAAATTAACATACTGTTATTTTAAATCACAAAAGACACAGTCTATCCAAAAATTATTTTTTGAAACCACCATTTATTCTGATCATGTGTTCCAGAACACCATCGACAACCCGACCTTTCTTTGTAGGCTAGGTCGTCAGGCTAGGTCGTTTTCATCCGGCGAAATTCTACAAACAAAACTTTTTTACAAGTAATTCGTCACCAGAGGGATAAGGCCAAAATTTACATTTAACAGCGCATTTACCAAGTGAATATAAGGACTGAAACTCCCTGACTGGAAAGGATGCAAGTTCAAGACATCTGTAAGGCCGCCAGTTCCAATTTTTTACTTTTAATGTTTTAATTGGATATTTTTGTGTGTTTTTTAAAAGAATGTTTTAGCCTGACGACCTAGTAGCCTACAAAGTAAGGTCGGGTTGTCGATGGTGTTCTGGAACACATGATCAGAATAAATGGTGGTTTCAAAAAATAATTTTTGGACAGACTGTGTCTTTTGTGATTTAAAATAAATTTTCATCTGGCGAAATTCTACAAACAATACTGTTATTTATTTAATTTTCAATATCTAAAGAATCAAGTTAATACAATAAACAAATTAGTTGATTGAATCAATCATCAATCAATTTAAAAAACTTTAATACAAAAAATCAAACGGTTTAAAATATTACTACAATTAGGGAAATGAATTTGCGAAACATACGATAAAACTGTACTTACTTATTAGTGCAATCTAAAGATTGGTGACACTTTGAATTATATAGTGATTGGTTTTTGCGACGAGCACGCCTATTTGTGGTACATTTAGATTTGCAGTCACATTTTCTGAAACCCTGCCCAGTACCAAGGGATTGTTTTATTGCTGTTTGACGTAAAGATATTTCTACAGCAGGGACATCCATCTTCTTTCGTTAAAAATCTCTCTTTGCAAACACTGAACTCAGATTTTGCATACAATTGTTTAAAAATACCTGTTTTAGTATCAAGTTTATAAAAGCCATCCTCTGTTTTACTAAGAACCACAGCTAAAATTGAACGTGCATCAGTTTTTGCTCTGTCTTCTTCGGGTACTTTAATTCTCACAGCGAAACCTTCATCGACGTTTGGGTGCTTTGCATTAGAAACTGCTAACATTTTCTTTGCTTGCTTTTCTAAACATTTCTTGGCTTCATCACGCTGTATTTTCTGATCCATATTCTTTTTACAGATGATGCACAATACATTCTTACCATACCCTTCCTCTTTAGGATCTACTTCACCACAAACTGCGTGAACAAACATATTACACGATTTACACTTGTGAGCACTTGATGCTGCTTTTGAGCAAACAATACAGACTATGTCTTGTATAGTGCTCTTTACAGGCTCTGTACGAAACTGTGATGGCGATTCTGCTGAAGTTGAGAGTAACTCAGTGATGACTTCTTCAACTTGCAGAGGTAATTCCTTGGAGGTGCAGGGTAACTGAATATTCTTCGTGACTGTATCATCAATCAACGGTATAGTAGGCAGTTTAAAATTACTATCGATAAATTCTTGTATTTCTATAGGTGATTCTGTAGAAGCAGAGGATAACGGAATGTCCTCTTGAGTAAGATTTGACTGTGATCGCATAATCACAGTCTCTTGTGAATCTTCTAATTTTTCTACTCTTCCAGTCTTCTTTTATTATACCACAAAGTGTATTACATTCGATAAAAACTGAAGAAGACCTTGAAAAATCAGAAGATTGATGCAAAAACTGATGCACGTTCAATTTATGCTGTGGTTCTTTGTAAAACAGAGGATGGCTTTTATAAACTTGATACTAAAACAGGTATTTTAAAACAATTGTATGCAAAATCTGAATTCAGTGTTTGCAAAGAGAGATTTTTAACGAAAGAAGATGGATGTCCCTGCTGTAGAAATATCTTTACGTCAAACAGCAATAAAACAATCCCTTGGTACTGGGCAGGGTTTCAGAAAATGTGACTGCAAATCTAAATGTACCACAAATAGGCGTGCTTGTCGCAAAAACCAATCGCTATATAATTTAAAGTGTCACCAATCTTTAGATTGCACTAATAAGTAAGTACAGTTTTATCGTATGTTTTTTGCAAATTCATTTCCCTAATTGTAGTAATATTTTAAACCGTTTGATTTTTGTATTAAAGTTTTTTAAATTGATTGATGATTGATTCCATCAACTAATTTGTTGATTGTATTAACTTGATTCTTTAGATATTGAAAATTAAATAAATAACAAGTATGTTAATTTAAGCGTACAGAAAGAAACGTTGCTGTTGTTCCAGCAAAGATCTTATTTTCACTGTACCGAGTGCCTAATAGGTAATTCGCAGATTACCTAGGTAATGTACACATTAACAGATTTCGAGCTTTAGCGGTAACATATATAAATTATATAAAAATTAGGTATAATTATATATTAATTATATATAAATTAGGTATTGTATATATGATTATATATTAATTATATATAAATTAGGTACTGTATATATAATTATATATTAACTTAATTTATTGTAACTTTATTATAATTATATATATG